AATTGAACAACCTTAGACAAGATTTTCAAGTGGGATGAGCACAGACTTTTTGCTCTAAATTTAAAATTTCCTGTTCTTCTTGGAATCCTAAATGGTCTGAATTTTTACCGAGGGAAAAAAAAAAATTAAAAGGGATCATGTGGAGCCATGACATGGAGGAGTGGACATAAACGGTCTTTCAGGCTCTGGAAGTGCTCGCTGCAGGATAGGTGGGCTTCGTTTCTCTTTTATTACTGGCACATTTTCATTCTTTCCAGCTTTGCCTGAAGGAGTTGGTATCTGTCACTGCTGTCCTCAGTTTGCATTCTTTTGTCCTCTCTGATTCCGGCCCTTCTCTCCACAAACCTCTGACCAGGTTGCGGAGCAGGTTTTCAGTTGACCTTGTTTTTTTCAGTGGATGTGGTTAATGTGCTGTGGGTTGGCACCACGGTAAGTTGTTCACATGTTCACATCCACAGAATACCATTTGCAGCCTGTCCACAGGACGGTGTGTTGAAGGAACACCTTTGCTTGCCTCGATGCAGGCTAGAGCAGTATCTGCTGCACTGTGACAAAACAAGTTTGACTGTAGTATCTTTAAAAAAAAAATACAGCAGTCATATTTTCTGTGACTACCATTTTCCAGGTTCTTTTGTAGCATCTGAGTGAGAGAGATACCTTCAGAGATCTTGACATGCTCACTTGCTGCTGGTTAGTGTGAACTTTTGGGGTACAGGACCACTTGTTTCTGACCCACTGCAAGTGCAGAGCACATGCTGTGAGCTCCTTCTTCCACGGTGTGTGTCAGGAACCAGGGATCTATTAAGGAGGTGCACAAAAATTCTTCCTATTAGTATCCCTATTGTTCGTCCACGTTCTTCTGCATGAGTGCACACTCAAACCCAAAGCAAATGCCAAACATCTGCATGTTCCTCTGCATACGGTGTACGCCTCTCACCTGTCCATGGATCTGTGAACACCAGTCACTCCTTACAGCTTGATTTCATCACACACCATGCAATGGCAAGAGCTTAATGGCGGGGACATTGATCTCTCTTAGCCTTCAGGCCTGGCGATTGCTCTGATCACTCACCCTGCTCAGCACAGGATGTAGAGCCGTGCCTAGTGAGCCCTGAAGGAAAAACAGTATCGTGCGGCTCAGCTACAGACCCTTCTCCTAACAGAAGTTTGGGATACCTTTTTGAAGTCTCCAAGCTGTGGAGAAACCATCCCCATCAGCTGCTCCCATGCTAAATACCCTTCATGTCAGGAACATGCAGCTAGTTTCTGGTTTGAATGGATCTCACCCCTAATTCCAATCACCAAAAGTCATTACTCTTCCATCTGTTGATGAAGAGGGCCTTCCAGCTGATCCCCATCTTGGTAAAAGTACAGAGTGACTGAGTGGCCACCCACTAGAGCCTTTGCTCAGCTAAGTAAAGGTTCTTCAGTTTCTTGCTCCAGGTGAAAGTTTTCCAGGCCTCAGGAAATCTCATCTTCATGACTTTCCTACAGGTTCTCCACCTTTTTTTTTTATTTTATTTTTTTAAGGCTAATCTGGAGGTCTTCAAGAAGTTTCAGCTAATCTTAGGAAAACTTCTCCATACAGGTTAGCCCATGCATGGATTTTAAGAGCATTTTAACATAAGCAATTACTGCTCTTATCTTTTCTTACTTTCTGCCAGATCAAAATTTGTTTCTTTATCATTGATTTCATTTCCAGGCACAGAAGACAAAAATTTAATGAGCATTTTTACCTCTTCTGCATCATTTCTGATAATTCATACCATTCCTGTCTAATAAAAATTCTGTACCGTGTGTACAACTTCTTCTCTTCCTAAGAGATGTAAAATATTCCTATTGTCCTTGTCCCACTGTCCTTAAATTTTCTACCTTTAGCTTCTCATGTTGGTTTGGATGAACGGTTAATTCATTGTTACCAATTTTTCCTCTTTCTGTCAAATACTTTGACTCAAGCAGGAGGGAGGCTTAATAAGTTCTATACTCCAGACCCAAGTGGGGCTGCCCCATGGTCAAGACTCAGCAGACCTCTAACAACCTTGCTGTGCACTCGGATTGACAAAACTAGGCAGCAGATGCTGCAGAGCCCCTGGGAAAGTTCCTCAAGCTGTGATCCTTGTCCAGTCCTCTCACGTGCTCCCGAATGCACACACACAGCCCCCAACCCATAGCCTCCATGTTACACAGGCAGATACAGGCTCTGCAGACACTCCCGTTCCTCCGTGCAGTTTGGCCAAGAGTCCAGGGTTTTGTTGGGGAAGGTTTTTTGCTGTGCTTTAGGTTGGTTTTCCTCCTTTCAGTTTTGGACTAAAGGTCCATCTCTTCAGCTTGTGACAAGAGACAAGAGTTGACTTTCTCCATCCCTTTCTCTGTCAGCCTTTTAGCCCTGAAGAAGGATGAGGCAGTGATAATCCTGTGCTATGCAATGCTGGAAGGAAACTGTCTCTCATCAGTGGTCACCCAGGCCTGGAAGGAGATGGAAGAAAGAGTCCTTGGGTTTGGAGATTTGGTAAAGATGCTGATGTCCACCTTTGACCCCCCACTGTGTGCTGCAGTGCTGACCACAATGCTCCAGTGGCCAGAGCCCGTCAGCACTGTCCTTTCAGGTGCCACCTCCTGGGAGAAGCTGACCTGGGTGACCAGGGAGGCAAGCTCCAAGAAAGGGATATGGGAGTTCTTCAGTCTCCTTTCCCCGCCCTGACCTCCCCCCTGCATCCACCCTAGGTGTGTGACAGCCTTGGGCGGCATCACATGGACCTGTGCCCTAACTGTGCTTTCTGCTCGCTGAAGAGAGAGCAGTGTCAGAACATCAAAAACCTGAACCGTGTTCGCTGTGAGACAGGCAACTTCACCACCTACATCAACCCTCAGATCTCAGCCCAGTACCAGGCTGCAGGCAACAAGGTACCAAGCGTGCTCCATCTCCAGCTGGCCTCTGAGGACGAGCCTGGACTGGGTGGTGGGGAAGGGGAGGTAGAAGCACAGGTCTCTTTATCCCACCTCTTTGCAGACCAGCTCCTCAGAGACCTCAGAGTACTATGGCATGGATGTTTTCCGAGGGCTGAGGGCGGAGTACTGGTGCAGCCGGATAGCCATCCGTGGCTGTGAGGACCCTCGTGTGACCCTCTGGCTGAAAGCAGAGTACTCCACCTTCCACGACGGAGATGCCCCAAGCCAGGTGGGTGCCCAGTGGGTGCTCCCATCCTTCTTTCTCCTTTTCTTTCTGTGGTCTTCATTCCCATCTCCCCAGATCTGCGACTCGGATGGAGTTCAGCACCCCACCTACTGCGCGTTCAAGAGCCACCAGTGTCTGCAGCAGAGCCTCTACAACCAGAAGGTGAGAAGCAGCTTACACGGCCCTTTACACAGCCTTCTCTGTGGTTGCTCCCTCCACAATCAGCCCTGAGTCTTTGCGGGACTCACTGGCCCACTGCTTGTCCCTCCAGTAGGACACACTTGGGTGTGTTTGGGAGGGTGACAAATAGTGACCTAAGCACAGCTGGCATGTAATTCAGGCGGTGGGATTTGCACAGACACTGTAAAGAGATGGCAGCGGAGACAGCAACTAATGTTGAGACAGAGGAGCCGTGGGGATATATCCCTGTATATCCCTGCAGGGGAGGGTCTCCACCATCTACTGGGTGCTTCCTAGGTGGTAACAAAAACCAGAAACAGCAGAGTAGGGCAGAGGACTAGCCCGTATCTTAGGAAACACACAGTTCAGTTATTACCCTCTCCCTCCCGCTTCCCCGCTGGTTCTCCCCTCTTCCCTTTGGTGCCCCCATCATCCCAGCCTCCAGATGCCATCCATCACAGGGGTCCTCTCTCCCTGAGGGAGGGATGAGCAATGACCTCAGTCCTATGATCTGCTCTCCTTGCAGGTGTCTCGCCGTGGCTGCCACAGAAATGAGACGTACCGGGTGCTGAGTAAGAATGAGGGAGAGGAGGAGGTGCAGCTGTGGCACCAGAGGTTCCTCAGCCTCACCAAAGGGTGATGCACAGTAGTGGGGTATGCAGGGGAAGTGCAGGGCTCCAGAGCAGGCCTTCTGAGTCTGGGGTGGGGCAGAGAGCCTGGATAGATTTGGACAGCTCTTCCAAGGACCCTTGCTGGCCAGTCAGCTCATCATGGCCAGATCTCCCCCTCTGAGGACCTGCTCTGCACCATCAGCAATGGTACGCCAGGAGGGGAGCCTCACTCAACAGTGTTTCACTGTGGCACCTGCTGGAACTCCCCCTGAAGACATTTTCTCCAGACAAAGATGCAGCTGAGCGTCGGAGAAGGCATCAGGCCTGGGAACCTGGATTTAGAGCCACCGGCCCAAGCATCCTGGTCTGAAATCCCCTTGCCTCCCTGCCCTTGAAGGATCTATGCCAGTCTCTCCCAAGGATGAGTCTTATTTCATAAAGAGCCTGTTTGACTTACAAACCTAGTTTCTCAGTTCTCTCTGATGCCGCCACTCTATTCCACCCCTCAGTGACCCCTCTCATGTGCAAGGTGGGTTCCCCACTTCCCCCTGGTGTTTCTCACCCACTGCAGCCCATGTGTCCCCTGAGCACAAGGACTCCTGCATGGCCTTGTGCCCTCCCAGCCCATGGGATGGAGCAGAGCCTGGTACCCTCCAGGTCCCAAATGCAGCACGTGAGGAAGGAGCTGACGTACGCACTTTGCTTTCCATTGCAGCTGGTTTATTTCTAAAGTTTAAGGGGTTTATGGGGTCTGTGTCCTCCAACATTCTGTCTGGAAAAACAACTGAAACCACAAAAAGCCCAATGAGGCCAGCAAGAGGGTGCTATGTGGGGAGCACGCAGGAGCTGGTGGCACCCCCTGGAGCAAGGGGCTGCTCTCCAGCAGGGCAGCAAAAACCCCACATCTCCTCTGACGCCTCTCAGGCTGTGTCTCCCCGACACCTTCCCCTGCTTGCCCGTGGCTCTCCTGAGGCCATCTCCCTGGCCACCTTGTGTGACCCCGGCAGCCTCCCACCGCCATGCCGTGCTCTCTCTCAGCGGCAGTTGTGCACCTCCACCAGGTGCCGGCACTGCTTGCACTTGACGGAGCAGCACCAGCGAAATTTGCAGCTGCACCGCTCTACCACCTCTGCCTGGGCTGTGTGGAAGCCCCTGCCGCAGCACAGGAGCTCGCAGCCATCCATGGCTGGGGATGTCCGGTTGCACTGGCGGCCGGAGGTGCCGAACACCCCGCGCCGGGGGTCCCGGTCACAGAAGTCTGGGCTGGCCAAGAGGTAGACCAGGTCATGAGCCGTGTAGGGCTTGAAGCGAGAGCTCTTGGGCACCAGGAGCTTGCGGGAACCCACCCGCTTGGGGTGAACCTCCGTCGCCCCCTCAAACTTTTCCTTGAGGACGTTACCCACCTTGCGGAAGGGAGGCATGACCTTCCAGCACGTGCGCACCTCGCAGGAGCCCGACACACCGTGGCACTTGCACTCCACCTTCATGTGGGCCAGGAGAGCCTGGGGGAGCAGGAGGCAGCTGCAAGATGGGCTTGGGACACCCTGCCCTATGCCTCCTGTGCCTGCGGCACCCCCAACATACCTCCCCATGGGGCTGGAGGGCAGGAACAGGGGAAGGGAAGGGAAGGGAAGGGAAGAGAAGGGAAGGGAAGGGAAGGGAAGGGAGGGGAAGGGAAGGGAAGGGAAGGGAAGAGAAGGGAAGGGAAGGGAAGGGAAGGGAGGGGAAGGGAAGGGAAGGGAAGGGAAGAGAAGGGAAGGGAAGGGAAGGGAAGGGAGGGGAAGGGAAGGGAAGGGAAGGGAAGAGAAGGGAAGGGAAGGGAAGGGAAGGGAGGGGAAGGGAAGGGAAGGGAAGGGAAGAGAAGGGAAGGGAAGGGAAGGGAGCAAAAATGTCTTTTTAAGCCAGGCCAATATGAAAGACGAGGGGATCCGCTCTGTGGGAAACAGGCTGGTTTGGGTCTGTAAGAGAAATCCCTGAGGCAGGGGAAGAGATAGGGACCTGCTCCAGCCCACGTGGCTGTGGGGAGGGGAATAGATCTGACAGAGCTAGAGGATGTTCAAGGGACCTCATCTGACAGTGGCCTCTGCAGAAGATGGTGTCTTTGCTCAGGAGGGGCTGGAGGGGCAGGGAAGCTCTTCAGAGAAAAATGGAGAAACTAATTTCCTTGCAGAAAAGGCCAAGGAAAGTAAATCACGGCTGGACTCTGTGAGGAAAAGAACTCTGCGCAGAGGTGGGTAGGGGAGGCCGGGACCCCACTCTGTGCAGGAGAGGTGCCAGCTCGGTGAGTGGCGCAGTGCTGGGCTGAGGAAAGGCAGCAGGACACAGACCCCCTTTGGGAGCTCATATCTGCCCTGAACTGCTCCTCTGGGTAAGGGAGCTGGACCAAGCTTCGCCTAGCCAAGGAGAAGCCCCTGAAGACAGGCTTGCTTCCCAGCCCTTGTTCCTGCCCTTACCTTCCTCCCAGCCTCGTTGTTGTGCAGGTTCATGAGCACTCGGCTGGAGGAGACGCCACGGCTCCTCTCAGGGTTGTCTACGAAGGCTTGAGAAAAGGCAATCCCATAAGACAAGTTATCAGAGCAGCCCGACCATTGGAAACCTGCAGAGGGAAAATAGCCATGAGATGAAGAAGGAGAAGCCCTGGGAGGAGCTCCCAGAAGGTAGAGGGCTGTGGAGAAGGGAGATGTCTCCTCCCCTGGTGAGGGTCTCCCCCATAGATCTTTTCCTCTGCCACTCCCTCCCCACCACCGGCCTCCTCCTTCACCTTCAGGGCTGATTCCTCGTATCTTGCGGTCGCAGCCACACTTCTCCAGCTCCCCGCGGCTGCAGGCACGAGTCACAGCAAAGGCAACACCAGCAGCAGAGATGGCATGGATGAAAGCAGACTCCCGCGTGCCTGCAGTGAGGCGAGAAATGGCACCAGTCTGCGGAGGGGGAAGGCACTGGTGGGACATCGCAGGGGGAAAAGAGGCTGTGTCTGCATGCACAAAGGATGTATTCAGGCAGGGACTGGTCGGGAGAAATCTGTTAGGATGCTGCATTTCCCAAGGCCTGGAACCAGCAAAGGAGACAGCTCTGCAGGGTGGTTCTGGCTCAGAGCCCTCCCCTTTGGCACCATCAATTCCTGGGCTGGGTGTCCCATTGCGGGAGAGAACTCAGCAGCCCCCAAGGGAAGTGAAAGGTGAGCCGTGGTGGGGGACGTCAGGGGCTGAGCCCCCCCACGCAGAGAGGTTTGTCAGGGAGAACCCTGCCGCCTTGTCTCCAGCAGCCAGAGAGACCCTGCTCATGGCTCCCTGTATGGCTCCTTCCATGCAAACACATGCAAAATCTCTTCCATGTTTTTTTGGGGGTGCAGGCAGATCCTTTTCCCCTGGCCTGCAACAAAAAGGGACTGCAGCTTCAGAGAAAAAGGCTCGATTTGAGCTGCTACTCCAAAGGGCTGGGCTGGTGGCAGGGTGGGGGAGAAGATCTATCAGTCTGCAGAGCTGGTACCCAGAATGGTCCAGATGGGACCAAAAAGCCAGGCCTGGCCAAATGAGGAAGAAATTTAGCCAGAATATTAATAGTTGTAACGGCACATGCATTTGGTTCAGTTTGCTCTGTGTTGACAGCTTTGTTAGCATGTGGAGGAATGTACTGGCCGCTCCGGGGCTCGTCCCAGTGTGACACTCGTGCACTAGCCCAGGAAAGGCTGATGTGTCAGGGGGTCCCATGGGCATACTGAAGGGACCACATGCCATCTGTGCCTGCGCCCTCTCCCCCTTGCTGACCTTGGATGGCGATCTTGCCAAAGACCTGCAGCCCCTGCAGGGTGGAGCAGTTCCACCGACGAGAGTGAAACTGGTGCTGGCACTCCTCGACAGCCAGCTCCGCACCTCGCTTCACAGCATCCATGGCTTCCACTTGCCGCCGGCAAACGCGGACCTGCTCTTCTACCAGCCCCGTCAGACCTTCGCAGCCCCCAGGGTCCTGGAGGAGTGCCCGCAGAGAAGGCTGCTTGGCCAGGTACCTGTGGGGCATGAGAGAGGTTCGGTCGCACATGGGCTAGAGTCAGGGCCACGTCTGCGTGGGGTTAGCCCTCTATAGCCTTATTTTAGAGCAGAAACAGGGCAGGCAAGGGGATGTGACGCCTCTTGTCTGTGCCAAATTGGACA